AAAAAAAAAAAAAAAAGATGTTCAACATTGAATGTCGTTAGGAAACTAAATCAGAACAATGAGATACCGCCACATGCCCATTAGAATGACTAAAATGCAAAACACTAGGCCAGGTATAGTGGCTCACTCCTGTAATCCCAATATTTTGGAAGGCATGAATTACTTGAGACCAGGATTTCAAGTCCAACCTGGGCAACAAGGCAAAACCTTGTCTCTACAAAAAAATACAAAAATTAGCCAGGCACGGAAGCACATGCCTGTAGTCCTAGCCGCTTGGGAGGCTGAGCTGGGAGGATTGCTTGAGCCAGGGAGGTTGAGGTGGGTGATCACGCCACTGCACTCTAGTCTGAGTGACAGTGAAACCTTGTCTCAAAACAAACAAAAATCCAAAGCACTGACATCAAATGTTGGCAACTATGAGAAGCAATAGGGTCTCAATTCATTGGTTCTGATAACCGTATTGCCATTGTATAATGGTATCAGAATTGTTAACCGGCTGCCCTGTGGGAACCAACTGTATCAATTAGAGTGCTTATGTGAACTTCCTTTGGCCTTTGTCTTATAGAATCCACTCATTTCCAAAGCTGCTTGGATCAACACTTTACCCTCACACCCTTTAGTAAGGTGGTTTCCTACATGTGTAATGCAATGTAAAATAGAATGTAAAAATCATTTTGGAAGACAGTTCCTCACAAAGCAAAATAAAGTCTTACTGTATAAGCTGACAATAGCACTCCTAGATATGTGCCCAACTAATTTGAAGACTTATGTTTCACAAAAACCTGCATGCAAATGTTTATAGCCAAAACATAACTGCCAAAAACCAGAATCAGCCAAGATACCCTTCAGTAGATGAATAAACTGAGGTACTTCCATATATTGAAATAATGGAATATGATTTCGTGATAAAAAGAAATGAACAAGCTCTCATGCCTCCAAAAATATACAGATGAAATCTTCAATGCATACTGCTAAGTGCAAGAAGCCCATCTAAAAAGGCTACATACTGTTATGATTCCAATTATATGATATTCTGGAAAAGGCAATAGAGACTGTAAACAGATCAGTGGTTGCCAGAGATGGAAGGGTTGGGAGGGATGAGTAGCTGAGACACAGGATTATTTTTCAAGAGCAGTGAAACTATTCTGTATATCGTAATGGTGGATACATGGCATTGTGTATTTGTCAAAATTCATAGAACTTTACAGCAAACACACAAAAATCAATCTCAGGATATGAAAATGTAAATGATTCCATCCTGGGCATGCAGATTGTGACAAAAGAATCTCACTGCATTACAAATGTAGGAAACCATCTTACTAAAGGGTGTGAGGGTAAAGTGTTGATCCAAGCAGCTTTGGAAACTAGTGGAGTCTTTAAGACAAAGGCCAAAGGAAGTGCACATAAGCACTCTAATTGATAAAGTTGGCTCCCATGCAGCTGGTTAACAATTCCGATACCATTATACATGTATACTGGAATTGAATAATTAAGTAAAAGGATGGTGGGCAGTGAAATCCAGGTTTCTCACTTTTGGAGTGGGAGTTTACAGGTAAACAGGAGGAAGTTAGAATGAAACGTGGTAACGGATTCAACTTGAAGACATCGGTATGAATTCATGGTATGCTTAAAGAAGAGACAGATGGATAAATCTATACACAGATTACTACCCACAAATATTTCCTTGCTCTGTCAGCTGAAAGCCTAGAAGTAGTGACGCCACAGTAGCAATGAGTACAAGTGCCCAGATCTTGGTTTATAATAACATTCTCCAAGAAGAGGAACCAGGGCTCCTTGGAGAAATGGTTCGATTCTAGGACAGGAGCAGGAAATATACAAGATGAGGCTTCAGCATCTTGTATCAGAAAGTAAAGAAGTACAAGGCCAGGTGTGGTGGCTCACTCCTGTAATCCTAGCACTTTGGGAGGCTGAGGCAGGCAGATCACCTGAGGTCAGGAGTTCAAGACCAGCCTGGCCAATATGGTGAAACCCCATCTCTACTAAAAATACAAAAATTAGCCGGGTGTGGTGGTAGGTGCCGGTACCCCCAGCTACTTGGGAGGCTGAGGCAGGAGAATCCCTTGAACCCAGGAGGCGGAGGTTGCAGTGAGCAGAGATCGCGCCACTGCACTCCAACCTGGGCACCAGAGCGAGACTCCATCTCAAAAAGAAAAAAAAAAAAGAAAAAAAGCTCCCAGTGGCCAAAGTTGTAGCCATCTGAACCACAAAATAAAGTACTGGATTATAGCTCAAGGGATAAAATAAATACCCAGGACTCTACATCTTTAAATAAATAAATGATGAAATAAATAAGGGAGAACAGCCTTATTCTGGCACAGAATTCCAGATAATTTATGGAAATACTCCATCCACTCTCTACTCCTTAAGTGTGGGCTATTCATAGTAACTTCCTTTGAAGAAATACAGTATGGAAAGGAGGGAAAATAGTAACTTTACAGTGGAGAAACCAGACAAACACTCTCTCAGGCAGAAGATCAAGCTGACATCCACAGTTAAAAGTCGTAAGAGTTTACATCCCTGGTATGTGATAAGAATGCATTTTACCTCTGACCTCCCCTCAAAAACCCATAAGCCCAATTTAATCATGATAAAAACTAAGAAAATCTGAATAAAATGTGGACTTGAGTTAACAGTTATATATCAATATTGGTTCAACAATTGTGACAAATGTACCACATTAATGCAAGACGTTAGTGGGAAAATTAGCAGGAAATTCAGTGTGGGGTATATGGGAAGTCTCTGTACTGCCTTCACAATTTCTGTAAATCTAAAACTATCCTAGCCAGGCACAGTGGTGTGCACCTGTAGTCCCAGCTACTCGGGAGGCTGAAGTGGAGGATCACTTGAGTCCAAGAGTTCTAGTCCAGCCTGGGCAACATAACAAGACCCTGTCCCTTTAAAAACAAAAAAAAAGTAAAAACTATTCTAAAATTAAAAATCTATTAAAGAAAATGAGGGTGACTATCTATATACATTAGATACATTTCCATAGAAAACAGCTGTGCAAACTAGGCACAAAAGCAGACACAACATTCTGCCTGGTTCTAGACTTTATCTGTACATATGGTACAACTAAGCTCTTTTGATTTTTCCACTTCAAATATTTGATATTAAGCTATCCTTCCGTCAAGACAACACCCACTCTACTATAATGAAAGGTACACTGCTATGGAGGACAGGTATACAGGAAACACAATTAGCCTGGACAATAAATGAACACTTACAGTAGCAGTTCTCTGCTCATCAAACTTTGAAAGTTTCTGAAGTTCTCTATAGACTGTTCCAAGTGGTGCATATTCCAGAATTAGGTAGACTCTGGTAGCATCATGGAAATAACCATACAGTCTGAGAATATTAGGATGCCTGCAACAAAGGATAAACATTCTAACACCTGGTTTGGAGCTGACAGAAGACTATGTACTAAATGTCAAACAAACTCTTCATGTAAAACCAGTGGTGTTTACCATGAAACCACACTCCAAACTCCACTTGAGAATCTGAAACTGTAAACTCACTCCAAGAAAAATACATAGACCCACATTTCATTTTACAAGCATTTCAAAGTATTAATGGACCTCTGCTTTAGTTAAGACTATTTCCTTCCTTTAGGCACCTTTATTCTTAGGAGGAAAATTCAGCTGAATATTAATTATCTACATACTAAAAAAAAGCACATGGCC